TTAAAATTGTTCTAAAAATTTGAAAGAAAGGAAACACATTATCTATATTTTTAACTTAACTTACATGGATTCAAATCATTTTAAAAATAATTTTTTGACTTAATGGTATCTATCAACAGTTGTTTTCGTCCGAGTGTCGTTTATATTTATTATATATATTATAAAATATATATTATTATTAATTTATTACAAGACCCGAAGTCCCAATTATAAAGCAAGATCCAGGCCTAACAACCTAATAGGCCCAAATTGGCCCAAATGCAGCTAGGGTTTTCCCTGATTCTCCAGTGCCGTCAGCAGCTCTCAACCGTCCGATCTGGATACAGATCAAGGGCCACAAATGATCCAACAGAAACCCTAGGGTTTCATTATACCCTAGGGCCTATTCCGTCTGCCGCCTCCAGGTGCTCCAACTGCTCGATGCCACGATGCCGCCGCCTAGTCAGAAGATTCCAGAGACACCAGGAGAGTCGCACAACGCATCATCTCTAGGGTGAGTCACCACCGTAGGTTCGATGACTCACCGGATTTCATCATTACATCATAGCTCTTGAAGCCTATAAAAGATAACCATCACCTACAAAGAAAGGAGACAAGAAGCATCCATACGAAACAAAGAAAAAAAGAGAGAGACTACCACAAGGACCCACAACCAGTAGTAAACCACGAAGGAAAAGAGGAAAGACAAAACTCGCCCAACCACCGGAGATTCCACACGATTGTCAAGATTCAAAACGTCGAAGGTATTCTTTTAGATCTACAAAGTTCTAGGGATTTTTAGGGGAAACAGAGGCCGGAATCGGCCTTAGGGCGTTCGGATCTTTAAATTTGGGTATTTTGTGTTCTCCAACCAGCGGCGATCGACGCCAGAGCATGGTGGTCGGCCGGTGATCAACATCCCTCAGGCGAGGGCTTTTTAGAGAGAACCAAGAGGATTCTCTCGTTTAGAGAGAGAAGGAAAGAGAGAAATGAGAGGCTTGACCCTCTTTGGGCCGATTTTGGGGCTTAAATACCCTCCCCGAATGACATCATTTTGGGGAGGGACTATCTGTGTAATATGGGCATGGTTTAATCCCATCCGTGGTTCCTCTGACTTTGTAAGACTTCAATTTTGGTCACTGAATCAGGTTTCTATGTCTTTTAATTTGGTCCTTTAATTTTATTTATTTTTATATTAGTCCTTACCTGTATATTTATATAAGTTAGGGAAAATTATATGTTTTGTCCCTATTATTTTTATAATTTATATTTTAACCCCGTATTATTTATGGTTAAATTACATTATTAATCCCTATATTTCATAATATGTAGAATTAGGATCATTAATTTATATATTTTATATTTTATTCCCTAAATATATTAATATTTTAAATAAATATAGGATTATTCATATTTATAATAAATAATATATTAAGTAGTATTTTTATTTATATGATTTAAATTAAAATTAAATACAAATTTATTAGTTTATTGCAAAGACAAATTAATTAGTAAACAATGGTACCAATTTTGGGCGTTGTGGGGGTGTTAATCCTTCCCCATACATAACCGACTCCCGAACTCATTATCTGGTAAACAGACCCTTATTGTGTTATTTTAATATTATTCTCAGGAATTTTATTAAAATAACATAACATTTGGTGACCAATCAAACCTAAATAAAAGATTGGTGGCGACTCCTCAAAATGGTGTTTTATCTGATTCAAAGAAAAAAACACTTACTTTTTTGAGACAGCTACACTTAGGTGTACTATTTGTTTTTTCGCCGCCGGGCAATAAACGTCTCGACAATATCTAAAACCCTCAAACTTTTTCAAAAAATAATATGGTCCCTAAATTTTTTACACTAAAAACATAAAAAAATGTTTTTATTATTTTTGTTAGAATTATTTTTGAATTTTAGAAAATAAGAAAACACATGATCTAGATTTTTAACTTAATTTACATATATTCAAATCATTTTAACAATATTTTTTTGACTTAATGGTAGGTAAAACCCTCAAACTTTTGCAAAATAAATAATATGGTCTTTAAACTTTTATACACTCAATTTGATTCTTAAACTATTTTTTATTAATTTAATTTTTTAATATTTTTATAGTTAATAAATTAAATATCTTAATAACTATTTATATTTTATTTTTAAAATTTAAATATTTTTTATTTTTCTAAAAAAATAATCAAGTCCTTAAACTTTTTAAAATAATCAATTAGGCTTTCGAACTTAGTCAAAAAAATCAATTAAGCTCATCTATCACATCATCATCCGTCATGTACTACTAACAGTATCGTGAACAATCACATCAGTATTGTATATTTTTATATAAGTTTTGTGAACTGTCATGTAAGCATCGTGACGATCAACATTTGATTTTGTTAGTCAAAGAGTTACATAAAGTTAATATTCATATCTCACATATTAAATTTATGTAATATTTTTTAATAATTATGTTTTAATGAGATTTGAAAGAGGCAGCACCATTGACGAGCCACAGCGTGAGCCCTTGATAACATAAGTTTCAGTTTTTTTCAAAAATAGAAAACATTAATCATTAATTAATATAAATGAAAACTTGAATTTATAAATAAAAATGGTTAAAATATATTTGTTATCTATTTCTTTAAAATAGGAATGAACAAATAATTATATTTTTAAAAAATCATTATATAAATTTAGTATATGAGTTATGCAAATATATAACAATAAATTTGATTAAAAATTTATATAACACAAATTATTTTAGTTTATAATAAGAATATAATGTAATGCATATTGGATATCAATTAAATTAAAAAAAATACACACAAAAAATTGTTGTAAACAAGAGCACAAAAAAGTATCATTAAAATAAAAAAAAATATGGTTAGTGGTATTTAAGACCCTTAAACTTTTGGGGGGAGAAACTAGTGTAACCCTTAAACTAGTAAATTGAGAGAAAAAAACAAATCTAACCCTTTGACTAATAGAAGCAAACGTTGATCGTCACAACACCTGTGTGATAGTTCACAAAACTTACAAGACAATCTATAATATTGATGTGATAGTTCACGATCTTGTTGTGGTAGTGCATGATGGATGATGGTATAGTAGATGGGCTTAATTGCATTTTTGCCTAAGTTCGATGGCCTAAGTGATTCTTTTAGAAAGTTAAAGGATTTAATTAATATTTTTTATAAAAAAAATTAATTAGAAATATAAAATATTAATACATTAAATACATTAAATATAAAATACTACAAAATTAAATTATTAAAAAAATTAGTTTAAGGATCAAATTGAGTGTAAAAAAGTTTAGGGGCCATATTATTTTTTTGTAAAAGTTTGAGGGTTTCAACTATCATTAAGTTAAAACAATTATTGTTAAAATTATTTGAAAATGTGCATGTTAAATTAAAGATCTAGATACCAACAACTAGTTGGTCTAGTGGTATGAGACACTAGGTCCCTTAAGCAATGTCAAGGGTTCGAATCCTGACATTTGGGAACGGAGAAAAATGGGTTGTGAGGGTTCCCTCACCTCTGCAATATGCGATCTAGATTAGTCGGTCAATATATTAGATACCAGTGATTAATTTAAAAAAGATCTAGATCCCGTGTTTTACTATTTTCTAAAATTTAAAATTTACAATGAGACAATTTTAAAATTTAAAAGAAACAAAATTAATAGAAGAGAGTAATATTTATGTAAAATAAAACATAAATTCCAATTATTTAAATTTTTAAATAATAATTAATTATTGACATATATACCAAAATATGTATTAGACGAGAAATTATTAGATGATTCCGACTCACTAAGTCATCTGTGGTCCCAACCAATAATATTTGTTCATAATATTTTTTTCAATGTGAATCTTTATCTCATCTCTATATGTAAATAAGAAGTTATAGTTATTTTAAAATTTATAACTCTCATCCACTAGGACCACGAATGATATGATGAATGAGACTATGAAATAATTTCTCATATCATACATATGAAAAAAACGAAGTCTCGACTGTTGACCATATTTTCCACCAATGATATGACCTTAATCTTTATCATGTACGTGTCCCAAGTTTCTTCCAATTCCAGCTAAACCTTTGTATTAACACCATTGTTTCAAACAGAAAGAACTGTCAAATCCTAGTTTATTTTAATGAAACAATTTAAATATAAGTTTAGGTAGAACTATAATAAGTTTTTTTTTATGGAGTTCAATGCCTCAACGTTGAAGGTTCCTTTGCCGGTCTGGTAAGGTTCTGTTATCCTTTTTGAATCTTACCAGTATTGAGGATTCGAAACTCGCCAAAATCATTGCAATTCTAATTTATTATATTTCAATATTGAAAAGAATGTTTGTGATCTTTTTAGAACTCACGTACCACGTTTTCTTTTAGCTAATCTGCGTACCCATGCATCAATATTAAGATTTAAAATTTAATAGTACATCAATTTGTGTTTATCGTTGTTAAGAGTAATAAATAAGTGTTATCTTAATAAGTTGAAGTCATGTCAAATATAATTATAAAAAAAATTAAACAAAAAAAAACCAAAAATGGATAAATAATACTGAAACATATCAAAAGATAAAGAAAATTGAGATATAAAGATAAAATTATTAAAAATTTACAAAATAAAAATAATAAAAAATACTATATAAAGGAATATCAACTATTGATGACAACATTAAGATCATGTCGTCGTCATCAAAATGAAAAAGAAAAAGGGGGAATCAGCACTTAGCCCAAAGAAAACAAATATCACAATATTTTTTATATTTTATTAAAATTAATCAATTAATAAATTAAATATAAATAATTATAAAAGAAATAAAGTCTTCTTATATATGGAAGACAATTACTTGACACTTGAAAGCACAATTATCCATGAACTCAACAACCGATGATAATATTTTCGACCGGTTTTAGCCAAGATTAATACTACATATTTCTTTTCTTTACAGCTTGGTAGTTTCTTGCCGGTTCAATTTATTTAATTTTATTGATATTTTTTTTATCAATTCTCATATAACCTAGAGGCATGCAACATCGTCGTCCAAGCAGAAGCAGTAAACAAGCAAGTATCTTTCCATCCAAGCTTAAGCGCCCCATCGTCTCGTACAAGACTATAGCCATAATCTGGTGAAAACATTTTCAATATCAGCTGAGCTTGAGCCATGGAGTTGCTGCTCATCGGCACCATCTGCAAGTTACCGTTCCTCGCGAGCTCGCTCCGCCATTGCATGAACTTACCGTCCCCACTTCTCGCTGGGCCTCCAATGGACAATATATTGTTGATTTCCCTATACAAAAGGCCGTGCTCAACGTTGTGCCGGTTAGGGTCTTCGGCTGGCAAATACGCACCGAGCGAATCGAAGATGGCAGAGTAATAATGGAGGGAGTTCACGAATCGGTCTGAGAAAGAACAACCGTTAGTGTAACCATCTTGTTCGACCAATGTGACCACTGTCGGAGCCAATTGTTCAATGAGTCTTAACGTGTTCGGATCAGGTCCCATGGCATCATACAACGAGTGTTGTAACCAGTGAATTGCTAGGGTGTCTCCCTTTCGGAGTCGTATCGCCGCGACATCGATTTCCCCGAATTTCTTCGCAATCGGGTGGAAATCGAACGATATCCGGAGTCGTGTGGCGAAGTTTGAAAGTTGTTTTCCAGTCTCTACCAGAATATCCATCGAACTGCCAAAGCCGGTCATGGTTATGATCGGAGGCCCTTCGGTACGGGTGGCTAGGATGTGAAACAAGGCCGGCCATTGCAAGCCCTGCATGATATCGAGGTCGATGATGTGAACCCGATGGCGTCGATGAAAGGCCTCGAGTAAGGCTTGGTTGGAGGTGAAATGACCGAATTTGATGAAGGGGGAGACATTGTTGAAAGCTTGGAAAGCGTCGTGAATGGTTTTTAGTTCAATCAAAGGAGAGGAAAACCCTAACCATGAGTTAATAACCCTAGTAGACATTGCCATGGCGAAATAAGCTATAACTCTCTCGGCACACGAAGGGGCATGAGCGGAAGCCATTTGGGTGAGTTCAATCAACATTCTATGAGCTTCACTTAGATTGTCGACCGAGATAGCTGCGCCACACTCCAAAAGAAGCGCCATCAAGCTGCTTAAACCTTGCTCGTCATTAATGTTATTCATTCGGCTCCCGAGTTCGTCGCCGCCATCTAAAACACCCGCCAGGGATGCGGTAAAGTTATCCTCGTCGATGGCCTTCTCGGTGGCTCGTTCGACCAACTGGTAAAGCTCGTTTCTCTCCGAGTTTACGACTGTTGGTAGTAACTCGACAGAGGGGAATTCCCATACTGGTTCATGATATTCTAGAGTGGAATGAACATCTTCGAATCCTCTTTTCATCAGTGCTGTAAGGAAAAGAAAGAAGAAGGGAAATTTTGAGGGGAGAATTGAGGGAAAGGGTTGAGACCATCTTTATTTATGTGTATTTCGCCAAAACCATACCAGCAGGGCCGGCATGCCCAGACACAGAGATGAAGATAACAAGCTAAAATCCAAGAACGCCTCATTTTGTTAGTCATTTTACGATTCTTAGCTTTCTTTAGATCTTCAAGCAATGAATGCGTAATTCATGTTTTTAAAATCTATTTGAAAATATCTGTAGGAAATGGTATACGCTTGATCCAGACATATAAATTAACTAGGGTTATATCACTAGTAACAAAAGAAAATAAAGTAAAACTGTAAATCATGGTTACTATTTTATAAAAAATAATATATATTCTCTGTCTATCTATTTAATAATTTAATCAAAGATTAATTCTATTAAATTAAATAAAATCACGAAAACAACAAAAAAAATTACTTACCATGACCTTGGTTAATCATGGCTCATGTGTTCTAATAAGAAAGTAGGTTACAAGTGACATATTATTTATAACATAAATTAATTAATACGTTTTTAACTATTTAGTTTAAAAATATTAAAGATTTCATGGATAATAAGTTAATCTAGTAAGATTCTTAAAATAAAATTTAAATTTTAATATTGTAAATAAAATATATTAATCGAAAGAATTGCCTCATTTAATGGACCTATATCTAATAAGGATCATTCGAATTTAATAAGTTAAATATGAGTTTTAAAATAAATTTCTTCTAGCCTTTTTTTTAGATAAATCAATTTATTACTCAAAGAAGCAGAGTTCCTGCTACAAAAACAGAATCAGCATCCTGATAACATCGATCACCTTACTTACAAAAACAATGCATCGATTAAGTTATACCCCATTGATTACAAAGAGTAATATTAACACTATCAAGTCTATTTATGTTCTTACCCCCTAATTGTATACCAACAATTTCCTTAATAATCTTAAGCATCTCAACAGCATTTCTTGAGCAGCCTTAGAACAGTATTCTGTTTCTCTCCTCCCATAGAAAGTAAGTTTGAGCACACCAAGCTAGCTTCATGATTGTTGTGAGTAAAGATTTTCCTTTCCAAGCACCACTAGCCCATGCTATCTCAACCTCCCATGACAAGGAATTTCTTCGCAAACCACTTAGGTTCAACACAGCCGCCCATAATGCAGAAGCTAAAGGATACTCAAGGAACAAGTGATCCCTTATCTCCAAAGCATCATTACAATTAACAAATGTACCTTCGATATCAAGCCCCATACGCTGCAGCCTATTCCTTGTTAGAAGTCTATCCAAAAAAGGCATCCAAACAATCATACTATGCTTAGGGATGTGGAAAGGAAACCATATCAGATTTTGCCAAGGAACTTTGGCACCCTTCAATCGAATCTCTTCCCAAATATCTCCTACTTTTTTTGCTCCAGTAGACAAAACAGGAAAAGCCTTAGTCCTCAGTTTTAGGATAAGCCTTAACCACCAACTAGTATTTACTCCAAATTCCATGTGCCAAAAGTCCATATACTTTAACACGTAGCTCTTTAGCCAAGCTACCCACAAAGAACTCTCTCCTGCAAGGATATTTCTGATTAATTGCATCATACACGCTTTATTCCAAGTCTTTATATCCTTTATACCAAGCCCTTCTTAAGATTTCAAAAGGCATATATTCTCCCAACTTACTCTGGCTCCAGTAACTGCCTTATCATACCCTTTCCAAAAAAAAGTAGGAGAAAAGCTGCTCAATCCTTTTAATAACAGATTGAGGCAGAATTAACTGCCTGCACCAGTAATTTGCTATACTAAACAATACTGCTCTGACTAATTCAAGTGTGCCAGCATAACTCAGATACTTCCCAGACCAATGGTGTAACCTGGATTTGATCTTATCAATAAGTACCACACAATCCTTTTCAGAAAGTTTCCTAGTGACCAAAGGAACACCTAAATATCTCACATGCAAATAACCTTGTTTGAATCCAGTAATCTGTTTAATTTCCTCTGTTTTACTACCATAAATACTAGCAAGAAAGAATCCACTTTTAGCAGCATTAAGCTTGAGACCATACATTTCATAAAAGTAATCCAAAACAATTGTTACTCCAACAACAGATTCAACAGTTCCTTTACATAAAATAAGCAAATCATATTCAAAAGTTAAATGAGTAAGACCTATTTTCTTGCATCTAGGATAAAAACCAAACATACCTCTAACAGCAGCCATGTTAGGAATTCTTGAAAGCACATTCACTGAAAGAAAAATCAGAAATGAGAAAGTGGGTCTCCTTGCCTTATACCCCTTGCACCCTTGAAGTAACCTATCAAACTCCCATTAAAAGAGATGGAGAATCTAGCTGCAATAAAACAAGCTGCAATCCATCCAATAAAAATCCTAGATAACCCTAAAGCTATAAGAATAACAGAAATAAATCCCTAATGAAGGGAGTCGAAAACCTTATAAAGGCCAATTTTCAAATTACACCTTCAAGAAATAGGCTTTCTACCATAGCCTTTTACCAGTTCCTGAGCAAGAAGGGTGTTGTCAACAATACTTCTTCCTTTAACAAAAGCTTTCGGATTTAAAGTAATCATTCCTAGGAGGAGATTTGTCATTTTTTAACCAGAATCTTTAAAATTGCCTTATACATAATTGAACAGCACAAAATAGGACGAAAATCATTTACCTTGCTTGGATTTGGTACCTTAGGCACCAATGCAATAGTTGTTGCATTGAAAGCTGGCAGCAGAATTGACTCTTTAAAAAATTGTTTTACAGCAGCCACCACATCATCTTCTATTATTGACCAAGATTTCTTGAAAAAACAAGGGGTGAAACCATCAGGACCTGGAGCTTTATCATTTCCTTGAAAGAAAATGGAATCTTGAATCTCTTCCTTAGTAACTTCCTTAACAAGGCCAGTAGCTTCTTTTAAAGGCAAGGAAAATTGCAGCAATTCTTTCAAAAAGATTGGGATCACAACCTTTAACCCTATAATCAACAGTACCAATCAGTCGAATGAAGAATTCAGTTACCTCGAAAGCCATAGCATCAAATGATTCCAACCTACATCTTTTCTCGTCAACAAGGACCCTGATAGTGTCCCGTTTATTTTTTGCAGCAACTACTGAATGAAAACATTTAGAGCATTTATCACATTCCTTTTATCACTGCACCTTAGCCTTTAGCTTAAAGAACATAGTCTCTGCTTCTTCAAGGATTTTTAATTCGTTATGTAAAAGAAGTTCATTGTCAATAACATCCTCTCCTCTTAAAGTTAACATTTGTTGCTGCTCTAACTCTATTTTCTTCTGCATTACTCGAGCTGAGAGATCACTATAAAAATACTATTTAAACTCTTTAGATAGACTTTTAGGCGCTTAAGCTTAAGAAATAGGAACTCCATAGGACTTCATTGAATTGTACTTTGCCAAGACTGCCTTACCACGCTCAAGAAATTAGGGTGAAGAGTCCATAAGTTAAAAATTTAAACGGTTCAGGACGATTAGCTGGGACTTCTTTAGAGAGCCAGACCAAAGCCAAACAATGGTCTGAAATACCAGGAGCAAGGAATTCCACAAATGAATTCTGAAAAGAACTCACCCACATGGAGTTAATTAAAACCCTATCGAGTTATGTTCAAAATTTAGGGGATTACAATATAATATATGTTCAAATTTTTTTTAGCTTATTGACAATACACATATCCTATAAATATAACTACTTGAACTCAAAATCTTTAAGAAGAATAATCCTCCCATTTACAGGGAGTCTCATGAGCTCTTAAAATTACATATTTTTTAGATAATGCAGGAAATAAGAATTGAGATCAAATCTAATGTATAATTGATTAAAATAATATCACTTACTATCACATCACATATTGGTTGACATTAAAATGCTTACATTTTGAAATTGCGGTAAACTTCACATATTTATGTTGAGCATATGATGGATTAAAAAAGTTAATTAATAATAATGATGATGGTGATAATAAAATTCAAAAAATGTTAATAATATAATTAATAATAGAGTAAAATTCAATTACGGGTGAACTACATAAATGATCATTTTCGTTTGAGTTTTATAAACTTTTCCTTATTAAATTAAAAAGAATAAGATTTTACCACTTTCGTTTCATTTTAATTAAGATTTGGTTACTTTCATTCCGTTTTAATTAAGATGTGGTTATTAAAGGTTAACGGTCGTTAAACCTTTAACGATTTACTAACATGACATGGTATATATATATATAATTAAAATTAAATCATTTCTACGTAGATAATGCGTGAATTAAGTTTTGATCACTTTCCTTTCATATTTCTACACTTTTGGTCATTTACGTTATCATTTTATTAAGTTTTGGTCACTTAGAAATGAGGTACTCGGAGGCCAACACAGTGGCGATGGTGCGACAAATCGCGCAAGTCCTAGGGATTAACTGTGATTTATAAGGATCTAGAATCAGAAAATTATATGTTCTTGTGCAAAAACAAAGATTTGACTTTGAAAATCATGGATTTTAGATTGAGTTTAGTGGATGAATTCACATATCCAATTATCGTGTTATTTGGATCCATTGATTATGTTTCTCCAGAGGTGCTTTCTCAAGGGAAAATCACCACGATTAGTGATATCCGTTATCGGGTTATATGGATCCATTGATTTGTCTTCTTTTTTCTTGTTGGATTTGGCAGTCTACAATCTTAATCTTTGAAAATTAAAATTTTAGTTTGTATAACTAAGATTACCCAGCTTCATTTTATCTCTCGATGCCTACCCTCTAATTTTTCTCTAAACTTGTGGTGTTATTATTTGTTATTGGAAGTTGAAAATCTTTCATTATTCTTGAAATGTGGCATGAGTACTTGAAAGAAGTAAATGGAGCAATAAAGTAGAGATGTCTGAAGAAGAAGCAGGGAGAAGATGAACAACAATGGAGTTGGGGAGAAAATTATATTAAAAATGGATAAATTGAAATGTTATC